GTTGACCAAAGTCAACTTAATTCATTTTATAATCAAAATTTACCATTTTTCACAGATTTTCACATATTAGCTTTCCGACTACGCGCCCAAACTGCGCACGCAAATTGAAGTGAGACAGAAAGAGGTTTTTAAGGCCTCGAAATGCAGAATTCATTTTAAAAAGATGTGATGACCTTTTGGGTCATCACAGTATCATACAAGAAAATTTTATTGTGCAAGATCAATTTTGATCCTTTATTTTCCTTTTCATACGAAAATATTTTCTTGGTTGTTTAAATTTTATTTTATTAAATTGTCTCACAACTATAATTGTTTCATGTGTTAATTTTCCTAATATTTATTTATTTAGGATTTAAAATCAGTTTTGTTTATCGAATATATACTATTTGAACTATGTCTGAAGTCTTAATATATAAAATTTAAAATTACTTAAAATTTTAAACATCTTTTACAAATTGTTTCCTTAAGCAAATATTTAATTTATTTTGATATAAATTGTCATTTTTCAATAATTTGTTCTTCTTACATATAAATATATTTATTATTTGATGTGGCACAGACCTGCAACTCACTTACATTAAAACTAGTTGTTTAAAATTTTAAAGAGTCGTGTTTCGTTACTCACTAGGGATTATTGAATAATATATTTCCAAATTTGTCGGTGAGGCGCTTTGTTAGGAATATTTATTTATGAAAAAGCTCAGTTTATTAAATATTTAAATTAGTAGGGCTAGAATCTAGCCTATGGATGCGTGGACCAATGGGCGAGATATGGTCAGTGGGACCCGTTAACGAATTTGTGGTAACAAAGGCCAAGTTACACTTTTGCAGATCTATTTCCACGTGTATCATGACCTCTACAACAGTCAGCTTATTTTTTTTTTTCTTATCCTCATATATACCATTCAATTTTGTTAGAAAATGACCTAATTAGGAGATAAAGCACAGACATGATTCTGTTACATTACAACTCGAAACTTCCTTTTGACAGCTACTTTATTATATCCTAATCAATGCTTCCCACTTTAATTTCGGCACTATTAATAATTTCATTAAAGTTTGATGTAATGGGGATAATTGCACTTTAAACACTCACTTATTGATAAATTCTGGTTTGATATATTTAGCTTAGAACATTAATTAATTAAAACATGTATTGTTCGATCGTTCAGAAACCACTAGTATGTTTTAATGGTTATTAGCTAGTTGTAGCTACTATTTACTATATTATTTCTTATAGCTATGTTTTCAGGTTTTTTAGGGTGTATTCGATGTATTTAAACTACTGTATTTATAAATATAGTAATATTTCTAGACGTGAAACAGGGGATTACAGCTAGACAAATTTTTGTATTCGATTGTATTCACGGCGTGAAACAGGGGATTACAACTAGACAGATTATTGTATTCGATTATATTCACGATATGTATTTGTGAATACAGTAACGTAAATAGCGCAATTTATGGTCTATTCAGCCGTTTTCAAACGGAAAGTGAATCAATTAACATAATAGACTCCTTATATAACTCAACAAACTCAATTATAACACAAAATTTGTATTTTCAATTATAAAAAAGATTCTCATCCGAAAAACACTCCAAAAGCATAGCAATCTTCAGAGAAAATATACTCAATATTTTTCCTAGCCGATAAATACAACAAAAACATAGCAATTTGAATACATATACACATCTGAATATATAAATTATATTAATTAAAAAAATATATGAACACATTCATGGAATACAACGAGACAGTGAATACAATGAAATACATGGAATACAGCGATATACATTGAAATACAATGAAAAAAAAGACAATGAATACAATGAAATACATGTAAATACAGCGAGATACATTGAAATATATTAACAGAAAATTCAAGTTGTTCAGCCCCAAACTCCGTCGTCTTTGTTCAAGAACAAATCCTAATGTTTATTTCGCTCAATTCCCCTGTCCGTTTCTAGGCCAACAGCATTGCCATTGATATATGGGCAGATAGCATATCAGTAAAGCCATTTTCTCTGAAGGAGTGGAAATCTCATCAAGATCTAAGCACATGTGAATGAAATTAAATATTATACATCTCACTGAACCGTTAATTGAAAACACTCTGACATGTATATATTAAACATATCCCTTCCTTCAACTGGATGGATTTGATGCTTTGCCGGAGAGTTCTGGTAGTAAGATGAAGTGGAAGATGAGAGAGAGGGAGAATAGATATGGGGTAGGGGATACGAGAAATTTGAGGGGATAGGAGAAATTTGAGTGGAGAGAGAAAAATAATACAACGCTTATTTTATGACTTAAGGGTAGGAGGTGACCATAAATAGATATTTGGCTATAAAAAATCAAAATATAGCTATTGGAATATAATTTTTTAAAAGAGTATTTATTTAAAATAAATAAGGTATCAACCTTTGTTATAGGAAGTAACTTAAATTATTGTTAGTAGTATATTACCCTCAAATATGGAGTAACAATAATATTTAACATAACAATAAATAATTTATTACAATTTTGAAGATTTACTAGTAGAGGGATTAAAAGTGTAAATTTCGATTAACTGAAGATTAAACATGCTTTAACCACATATGTATATCACAAGGACCACAACCAAAATTTGTTATATTTAAGAACTAAAAACACTAATTTTATTTATTAATATGAGACAGTATTTACCTTATCTTATTGCTTCCCCCGGAATAAGGTAACATTTCAGTGATTATAGAGATTATTTGTCCTACATAAATTCAGTTAAAATAGATGGAAAACCCCCAATAAATAAATAGAAAAGAGGCTGTACCGTCGAAATGGATTATGTTAGTAACTTTAATCAGTCAAGATAAAGTACAACCGTTAAACCATAAGTTACAAGGTCTATGTTGCACCAACAATAAATTTGAACAAGTTTGACAGTATCACTCGAAGTCAGGGACGGATGCAACCCAGTGGTTCGAAGGTCATCTGAACTCGATACTTTAGATGTGGAATATAAATTTATGAATAAAAATTCATAAAATTATAACAAATAATAAGATATGAAGTCATAATTTTTAAAAATATATTATGTTTTATACTAAAAAATAAGAACCTTAAAGAATGAACATATAAAATTTAAATCATAAATTTACCTTCATTTGAAGTATTGTATAATTCAACACATTATATGGGAAAATATAAGACCCAAGCTGACTTGAGCAGTCAAAGATAATTAATTCTCCATCAACCTATCAATATAAGAAACCCTTTAGTTTTTGTAGCCACAAAAGTGGTATATACTTGTAAGAAAGGAACAATTCTTTGAAATCTCTAAAGTGACAAAACTTATTATTCAATTCGCTAATGTGGTATATGCAGCGGCGGAGTCAAAATTTTCATTAAGGGATATTAAAAAATAAATAATTATCTACATCGAAAAATCAAGGGGAGTTAACCTATAGCAAATATACATAAAATATAAAAAAATTATCTAGCAATATAGTGTAACTTTTCGGCGAAGGAATGTGGCTTGACACCCTTGGTCCGCCACTGGGTATATGCTTGTAAGAAAGGAACAATTCTTTTAGTACAATCTTGAAAACTAAATTGATTTTATTATCATCCATTGAAGTTCTTCCTTGTAGATATATATATATATATATATATATCTACCTTCTCTTTTATATTTTTCTTTTGGGAAGTTCGAATTATTAAAAGACAAAGAAGATTTTTTTTTGAAAAAAATAAAATCTTACGCCTTTAATTAAGATTTTAAGATGCGAGGTAGCAGACGGGTAGCTCTACTACTGTATTACTCCATCTGATTCATTTTATGTATGCTTTAAGATTTTACACACCCCTTTATAAATAAGAATATTAATAATCTTACTATAAGAATGTTTTTAAACTATCTTCTGTGTCTTCTTTAAACGTCTCACATAATTAATGCTTCACTAATATGAATAAGAAGGATAGATTTGATAAGAAAAACATAATAAAAGTGACTTCTTATTTTTCTAAAAGGGTGGAAAAGGAAACTTTTAACTTCTTTTTTTTTTGAATTGTTAGAATGATCTAAAAAGGCAGTCCGACGTACAAACTACAAAGTATCCCACGTTCATGCAGGGTTCAAGAAAAGACCGCATTTCAAAAATATGTAAGATAGGCAACATACCCTAATGCAAGCATAAGTAGTTAATTATGAAAATACTTGAGAATGTTCCAAGAACAAAGGAAATTTGGTTAAAAGAAGTAGAATAATATAAGATTTTAAGCTCTTTGACATGAGGCGGATGTAGCCTAAGTACCAAGTACGAGTTCATTTAAATTCATAATTTTTTATACAAAGTATAGATATATATTAAAAATTTTAGTAAAATTTCAAAAAATATTAATAAATTTTAATTTATAATTTTAATAATATAATAAGTTCAATACTATTTTTTTTAAAAATTAAACCAATTAAATTTAGATCGTCGATCCACCTTTATTTTGACAACCTTTTATTCGAATATAGAAAAGAAAATTACAAAACTACATGAGTGCCTGGAAATGTCAAGAGGCTGGGGTCCTAGTGTCTTGCCTTTGTGGGGACAAAAGTCACAAAGATGGTGACTAATTAGTTTCCCCAAAATAAAAGCGTGGTGAGTCACATTTGGATGTCTACAAAAATCTACCTTATCCACTTTGCCTAGTAGAATGGAAAATTAACCCTAAAAAGTAATCCGTAATTAAAGAATAAATGCAAACTAAACAACATGAAAACTAACTAACCTTCCTCGGTTAAATAATAATAATAATAATAATAATAATAAAACAATTAAATCTCATAATTATACACGTCAGTCATTATCCACCCACTCACTCAGCCAAACCCTTCAAAAATCTCTCAACCATGTAATTTAAAACATCAAGAGTTTTTTAATGTTTATCTATAAATAATTAAATTATTGGATTAAGACAAAAGAATTGTAGGAGATATGTATATAAATGTTTCCTTATCAGAAACTTGATAGAAATTGCAACGTATTACCAAGTCTTGAGGAAACAAGAAAATCATTATCTTTTATTCCGTTACTTATCTCTCTATTTATTTCCCTTTCCTTTAGCAAATTAAATTCAATCATCTTTAAATAAATTATCAAGGAGAAGAAATATAATGGGGTTGAAAGAGAAGAATGGTGGTAACAAAATGAATAATGTTCAGACGTGGGTTATTATGGAAACCAAAAATAGTATTTCTGATGATTTTTCCCTTCAGTCAAATTCGTTGGAATTTTCTTCTTCTTCTTCTACTTCTTCGTTTGAGCTAGATGATGATGCTTCGTCTCATGGACCTTTGTATGAGTTGTCTGAATTAATGGATCAATTACCTATCAAGTAAGTTCACAATTTATCATTATTTTAGCCTATGCTTTTTGTAGCTCACGTTTGGCTTATGAAAACATTGTTTGTTTATAAAATATGATCATATTTTGAAATGTTAAGTTTTCAAAAATTGATTTAGGGCAGTTTTTGGGTGAAAATTTCTCCTTCACTCGCAAAACTTCAATTTTTTCTTCAAATAAAATGCATGTCCAAACACAACTTTAACTTTCAAAAATTATTTTTCAGTTTCAATTGTCCAAACGCTAACGTAGTTGAGGTGGAAGGTTCAAATACAGTTTAGGTTTTCCATAGTTGAAGTGGAGGGTTCAAACGCAATTTAGGTGAAGGGTTCAAATCCAAGATGTAGCGTAGCATCCCCTTCCACTTTTCTCCCTCTTTTGAAGTAATAAATTTTTTTTTAAAAGAAATGGAGGGTTTGATGCATTTTTTTATGTTAATATATGATTAACTGCTATTTGATCCTCATATTCAAAGATGCAAAATATATGTTTTCTTCAAATTTAATCTATTTTTTTGGAAGGTTTTTAAAGTTTTGAGAATTTCTGTTTGGGCAAGAATTTAGCTCATGACTGTAAATATTTTTTAATTTGTCTTGTATTTTTTTGTCTTGTGTTACAATCTCACATATTATGGGTAGTTACTTAATTGGCATTATCTTTTATATCACCGTATATTATAGAAAAGTATTCAGCATCCATCTTTATACAAATAGTACTGTTTATTTTTTTTTAGCCAGGATGCATATTAATTTTTTTTAATTCGTATACATAGATTATATATTAATTCTCTACGGTAATATACATATAGATTGCACATATATTATATCCTCCAACTGGAGGATTTTATTTAAGCGGTCGGATGAACACTTATTTATTTTAATTCTTCAAAATGTTTTATGTTAATTATACGCTCTAATTTCTAATGAACTCTTGTATGTGTGCAGGAGAGGATTATCAAAATATTATCAAGGGAATAGTCGATCTTTTGGATGTTTAGCAAGTGTGAAGAGCCTAGAGGATCTTGCAAAGAAAGGGAATTCTTATAACCAGAGAATGAAATCATTTAAGAGTTTTGGAGCAAATGGCAAAAGATCATCATTTCGTCCAAAAGCTACCATTAAAAAGAAGTCCTACTCTTCAAAGAGACCTATTTTATCAAATGCTCTTCATGTGGCTAATTGCACATCTCCCATTTCTTTGGAAAAGAATTTTTAATTTATTAAATTCTTAGAAAGCTTGTAGTAAATCTTTTTTTTTTTAAGCTAGCAACATGTGAAATTGCAAAAGGAAAATGGTTGACATTTTCAGTAGAAAGAGAAACAAATTTTGAGCAGAAATGTTTGTTGATTGCTGAGGGGTATTATTTATTACTTTTAGCCCGTGTCAGAAATATTATTTATACATGGTAGTCGAAAAAGTATATAAAATTTATATAATTTTTATATAATATATATATATATA